GAAAGGAAGAACAAGAAGCAGACGGAAGGCGAACGGAAGAAAAAACTGAGAGTTGAAATCTTTGTGAATGGAACCAAAATTGCAATAAGCGATCTCCATCTGGAGCTAAAAAAACGATCTTGAATAACCTTGTATGATATACACTAAAGCGGTTGGATGTTTCTCAGAGATTATGAAACTCGAGGATGGAGAACCGAACTCAGATAAAGACTTACAAAGATGGTAGATAACAGCGCAAAGCATGGACGACACGACGCGGTGGTCAGTAGAGAAATTTGACTCGGAGTTGCCGCCTCGTAACACGAGTCTCGTGACCAAAAATGAGGTCATACTACGCGAGCTCGTGGTTTGCGAGTGAGCATTTAATCGACTGAACATGTATAACAAACTCTCTGCTACAATCTTTAAACTGAAGTTTCCAACAGGGTTATTCTCACAGCAGCGTGATAGTGCGACTTTCTTTGATAGATTTGATCTTGACTATCAGTAAACGAGAAATGGGGGATGGCTACATATACTAGTACATAGAGGCAAACGAGAGCTAGATAGGCACCGCGCATGGATTAGAATAAGTCACTCCGGGAGGAGCTCTTCTTTCCAAGATCATCCTCCAACAGAGTCGGAATTATTTTACTCTCCTCGGTGCGCAAAATTGAATGACTGCATGTTCTGATCTCCTGCAACGGCACTGAATGCGCCCGATGTAATGTGCGCCCCATTGATGACAATATTCGGAGCTCCATGAAGAACACTGGTACTTGACCCTGCCGTTGTTCGCCGATCTGAAGATCGGGTGGATGGTCGAATACCTACACGAACAGCAAGAAAACATTCGTGTTAGTGCACTCCACATCGCGTAGTTTTGTCTACAACAGACCATAATCCCTGTGTCTACGTCTTGCATTAAAACTGGTTTGTGCAAGTTGATCACCATCTAGTAAAAAAGCCAGGGGATTGCAACGAAGTTAACCATAGCTCTGAAGCCTAACAAATAATCTAGGAGACTGGCCCACCCTGGTTAAATCTTCGCCGATTTGCACTGAACGGCCCATTGCGGTGTCTAGTCCTAGTCCCACTCCTAGTTGTCCAAGATCCTACGAAAAACCACAATATCAGTAACGAAGGACAGAGCGATAGCTTGCATGACAAGTCACACCCTGCTCGACCATGGTAGGTGTATGGACACTATTATATTCAGGTGAGCCAAAACCGTTTCGATGCTGATATATTGTCATTGGGATCCTCCAGGTACCATTTGCTCTTGACGCTGGTTGATCATGCTCATTGGATGAACAAATGTTACCCTCTGCATCAACGGTGAACGGCATGCTGGCTGAGCCCGAAGAGATTAGTATGCAGCGTGGAGAGTCAAGCAGACTGACATACGATGGGCACGCATCCAGGCGATGATATCCCATTCCCTTGAAGTAAGATCTGCCGGATTGTAAATTGGAATTCATCAGGTCTAATTGAAAACAACAGGCAAATAGCCTTAGACATGTACCTGGTCCCAAAGTCAAATCACCTCCCTCAAGTTCTACTGACATGAGATGAGAATCTAAATCGGATGGTGTCAAAACAGTGAAGCGGCAGAGCGTAAAATAACAAGGCAAACTTACAAGAAGGGTTACATTGGTATGCGGAGTCATTGACACAGTGGTCTCCTCTAAGCAGATAATGAATAAACCGACGGTCAGTAGAGTGATGCATGTTTAGAGGAAGGAGACTGAAAAAGACTCGGAATTCTGTCCCTCTTTTTATGAGCGGCAACCTAGAGCGAAAATCAGGCCTCTGCTACAATCACCGCAATTTGGGAATGACTGGATCCTCAACAATGATTTTGGCAGTGAAGATACTGGTTACTCATGGCAAGATGATCTGCAAGATTGATCGAACGATTGCCCGACCATTGACTGGCAGCTGTCTGAGGTCAGTTGCTTCCACAAGTATGTATTGTAACGACATCCTGCCGTACACTGCGGCTCGAAGACCATGGTTTAAAGGTGGATAATACAATAAAAACAGCCTGGACATGTGAACAACTCTACCCTCTCCGGATTCATCATATATGGACTAGGGGTAAATTCAAATACACTTTCAGGAGCATCTTGGTTGGCTGTGGACAGAAGTATCGCGGACATAGATATCCCGCCATCGATTGTGATATCAGCTGAGAGTCTGTCTAATGGGTCAGGAGGGCATGCGGAATCCAAATTTTTGAGCAAGGACTCCGGTACAAATCAAGTTGAGAGTCACATGATCATGAAAACGGCCCCACTTGTTCTAACGGGAAACACCTGAAATTTGGGGTTTTTAACTGGATGGGGACGCCGTCCGTTGAATAGTCCGTGACTCAATACCTAGAATAGTAGGAGGCCAGCATCTGTTAAATAGTCTGTGGCTCGAATACTTAGAATAAGTAGCAGGAGACCAGCATCTGTCGAATAGTCCGTGGCTCGAATACTTAGAATAGTAGGAGACCAGCATCGGTTGAATAGTCTGTGGCTCGAATAGTAGAAGACCAACATCCGTTGAATAGTCCGTGGCCTGAATACTCAGAAGGCCAGCACCCATTGTACGCTTTTGAGGTGTGCCTGAGTTTCAAAAATATCTGGATTTCATCGTGATATCTGGGTTTAACATTCAACGCGGGTAGTTTCCATTGAATCCGAGGACACTCATTAAGGCCATCTTGAAATGACTGGAAGCGTACATCCACACCACCGTACAAGCTTCTAGTTTGCTAAATTGAAGTTCAGCGCCAAACGTAGAGGGAACTTTTGAGACATGAACCGTTCACGACACGCGTGCGCTATAAGGACAGTCCAGGAGCCGCCCGAATTCAATCTGCGTCCATTACATTACTTCTCAAGCTTCCATTACGCTGTCATGGTAGCGGTATCAAACTTTTCTAGCCAAGAGTCGATGCAAGGAAGTTGCCGGTTCAAAGCTGGTTCCCGAATGCGTCCCTGCCTTCCTTTCAGAGATTCCTGCAGACATGGTATTTCGGCGGGATGTCGGGACCTTGAATCTGTTCAGCGACAATGAAGGGAGAGGGAATAAATGGTTCCCGCATAATTTGGGACCAACATCGGCCTACTGAAGCCTGACCACTCCGGGATGTTGAATACTGTTGATTTATGATGGCTATGGAAAGATGCGTAAATGGTCTCGATGAGCGCTAAGGCAAGAGTTGAAGCGCCCAAGGTTAAGCAATGATGTAACGGATTCGTCACTTACTCCTGCCACCGCCCTAGGGCAAAAGCTCCTTGCTCCTCCCGCTCAGAATCGTCATCGGCAATGACGCAAACGTGAGAAGCACTATAAAACCAGCCAACAAAAATCATGACCATTCAATCTAAAACAAACGAAACATGTCTTCTTATACACCATCCACTACTACAACCGCTGAGAACCCTACTCCTTCTCAGTCTTTCTCCTCTACAAAGTCTACTCTCGGTTCTCATACTGGCGTTCCCCCGTCGTCATCTAGCTATGAATCACCCTCATCTACGGTTTCCAACGTAGATTCAGCCTCGCCCAACCCAACTACCGCCTCCGGAGGCAGTGGTGTAGATTCAAACACACAATCCCAATCCAGCGCTCCTTCGGATGACTATCCTGAGCAACGCCACGCCGGTGCTGTAGGGTATGGACCCCAGTACCGTCAGGGCGTCTCCGTCGGAGATAAGCTTACTGGGCTCAAGGAGGAATTGAAAGGAAAAGTGACGAAGAATCCGGAACTGGTCGAGCAAGGTAAAGAACGTAGAACCGGGGAGTTGAAGAAGAAGCAAGAGCAGGAGGATGTATGTTTCTTTTGCTCATCTCATCTGGTCTATTCAGAATCCTAATCTGCTGTCATCTATTTCAGACGGAGAAAAACGATCCATTCAAGGAACCCGGCGAAGATAACACACAATCCACACAATCCAAACCCGCTCCAACCCAAACTTCCACCGCCGATGCACCCAAAACATCTTCTGCTTTTGGAACATCGAGTACCTCTGCTCCGCCTCAACCCCAGTTTTCCGCACAACGTGACGCCCAAGGACAGGAGATTGCTGCACACAGTGGAAGTGGTATGAAAAAGCCAGGCCATGTAGTGATGGTCGACGAGAATGGGCAACGTCGTAAGGCTGAACCTGACTCGATCGAGGATAGGGAGCCTGGAGATATTGCTAGGGAGACTGTTGGGGAGTAGAGCGGGGGATGATTGGATGTTGTTCTTCTTTTGCACGGACAGAATTGTTACTGAAGAATCTTGTATAATATTGCTCCATCTACCATCATGAATTTGTAATTTGTCTTCCCTAATATTAATGGCATCGCGTCTACGATCAGTCTGTTAGGTTCGACCCCTGCGGTGGTCACTCGTTGGAACTTGATCAAGTGCTTTTTTCTCTTTCTATTCTTTCGTTTTCCACTCATTGTAATTTATTGCACGATTCAAGGAGTAGGGTGAGCCATTTCATCTGCAAGTTGATAGCACTGATTATCGGGCATAAGCGTCCGGCTTGAGGTAAAATGCAGCCCCACAGCTGCCTTGCCTATCTGAATTACATGTAGCCTGAGGGCCGATCAAGCAAAATTGCACTAGGATTGGCCAGACTTATACAGCGAATCTTTGACTTTAAGCTGACGCGCCTATACGTGTTTGACCGCGATTAACCAAAATTACATGGTCGAGAGATTGCAGGTTCGACGATTGATCACTAGGAGCTCCAAAAGTATGTTATAGTCTAGCTAAATGAATCTGCACACCACTCAAAGACTTTAAGAAACTGCAACTCTGGGTTAGGCCCCGCAGAGCTTGGAAAAAATGAGATTTTGGCAGACGAAGTTGCAGAAAGTGAATCACAAGGGATTTGGGTGGCATGGTAATGAGTGCATATGTAGGCGGGATAACAAGTTGAACTTGACGCTCTCTCATAGTCTTTGAATGGCCCATCCTGGCCTTGGAATTCTTTTTACATCAAGAGCGCATCAACCTTATTTTTCGTGGCCGCCTGGCGAAATGGCATCGCGTCTGACTACGATAATAGAACGATAAAGATCGTTATCAGGAGATTGCAGGTTCGACCCCTGCGGTGGTCATTTTGCATCCAAAACATTCATTTTTGCTCTATTTGACTAAACTGCTGAAAAGAATGCTTGTGGTCGAGCTAAATTACCGCCGGGCATACAATATTCTAGATCTTGTTTTTGAAGAACACTGATCCAAAGAATCAGAAGCGGTATGTATCTCACTATTCAAAGCGCATCTACTCTATTCATTGTGGCCGCCTGGCAAAATAGTATCGCGTCTGACTACGGTGGAATTTCGTGACGAGATTGCAGGTTCAACTCTTTAGGTGGTCATTACAGTCAGGGAGGCGTGTATTTCATTTCCCATCAACTATTTGGTTATCTGAATGAGACTCGATCTAAAATGATAGCCTTCAATGCGATTTAATGAGCCAACTTCAGCCGACGCGTCGGGGCGCGACTCAATCTTACACATGACTTTCTCGTGATTTGATTTCGCCAAGTTCTCACGTATTATTTGCCCACGCCCATGGCTTTCTATGACACGGAGAAGACGCCAGTGGCACTAGTAGTCAAGCAGGTAGGGCTGAAAGTTATCCTTTTCGCCATTGTTTTAACTGAAAAACTTTTCGTCATTTTTCGTTTTTTTTTTTTTTTTGCCACTGTATACGATAGGAACCTATACCAGACGAAGTTTTTGAAGATGCTTTCGAATACAAGTCTCAGGTATGCGGCATACACTTCTTGAAACTACATATGTCATCATAGTTTGAGGAAAATAGCCTTGTAACGTTTCTCTTTCTACAGCCACTCCTACCAGAAACCTCCCTTAAACGGTGGGTGCCTGAATCTTAACTGACGAAATTTAGATTGTCATTCCTAGTCAACTATGACTGTCTGCAGAACCTTGAAGGATGAGGATGAAGAGCCCAGAAAAAAAACGAAGCTTAAATTTGACAGAGTTGTACTTTTTGTGGGTAACACTGACAAACGGTTCAAGTTCACGCCTTGGATTAGCGTCCTGTGAGCCTGATTTTACTCAAACACATTAACGAGTCTACGTTTACATTTCTAATATAGCGGTACTCGCGCCTCGCGATCAATTTCTCCTGGGCCAGGGGATACTGAATCGGAGATGAGCCTTGATGAAGGTGATCAGGAAGACGTCGAACCTGCAGCAAGACGTAAGAGGGGTCGAGTTTCGACGACTGCAAAGCATCCCGTACGTAACTTAGCCATTAGTTTATAGCTGTAGCTTCGCCTGACTTTGCTCTTCCTCCAAAGAAACACGATCTCGATATCAAACCCAAAATCAAAGAGGAAATGCTGGTCGATACTGCTACTGTGGATTCCCGCCTGGCCATAGCTCAATGTGTGACATTCAACGTCACTCTTGAACTAACCCTTCGAAATGTCCATGTCTCTCGCAGATTCATAAGTCAAACTTACGGAGGCTCCGAGGTGTCTGCTTTTCCTACGATCAAACAAGAGAACCTCGACAAACATGGAAGGGAGAATTGGATGTTTTGGAGCGTCCTGGAGAGCCAGGCTTGTGGTACTCGTCGCGCCCTTTTGCTTATTCGGAGACGCACGATATTCCTTGCCATGGATTTGCGCATATGAAGTCGGATAAGTGGTTGTATCTAGGTGATTAACTCGCTGCGTCGCCGAGCCCTTGACGCAGGAAGAGTGGCTTAGACAGTCACCCAAGGTAAAATGTCTTGTTTTGCATTTGATCATGGAATGTGAGTTGATAGTTCTTTTTTTCACTCAGTTTCACACTTATTGGACCAATGCTATCCAAAAGATTTGGGGGCGATATGTTCGCGTCCAAATACATCTGCGGAAAACCCTGGGACAGGAGCCAACTCCGAAGCAGATCCAGGAGGAAGATAATGATTGCAAGCATATCACTGTCGAGGAAGTAAAGGATGCTTTTGATACGGGTAAACAGGTTTGTGTTCCTCTTGGAAGATATGCTCTGTTTCTGAATGGTAATGACTAAGTAGAGGCTCGATATCCTTGTCCTTCAATGCGTTGGGTATGATGAAGGTCTTCAGAAGGAGCTGGTGGAGAAGTCTTTGACCTGGATAAAGCTCCAGGGCAAGGGGCCAAAGGAAAAGCGAGGAGGGAAGGGGAAAGTGGACAATACAGAGAGAAAAAAGACAGCTACGAGATCAAAAGGAAACCGCAAAGTAGTTGGTCCTATAAACGAAATCGAAGAGCAGGAAGAGTCTGAATGGTCAGAAGTTATGCTCACAGCTGGAACCAAAAGTCGTCCTGAGCGGAAATAGCATATCTGCTTACTCCACTTTGTTTCTGTAGAAGGGATATTTGTTGCTTAAATGAGTTTCATAGTAATGTGATAATATATATACGCGTCGGACTCGTCGCTCAGGCTGCGTAGGATGAAGGCACGTTACCGCGTGAACAACGTGATTGATATCTTCATAATTCCCGTCGCACGAGACGGCAAGCTACATCTTGTGCGCGAGGTGCTCATACGCAGATATGAATCGCGATTGAGGGCCCCTCCAATGTTTGAGATTGTTATTGTTCAAAAGAAAGCCACAAAAGGAAGGAAAGAAGTTTATTACGTCCACGGGATGTGGATGACGCCACGGACCTTCGGTCGGCAAAGAATTCGCTTAGCGACAGATCAGGTTCGTCTTTGAACTCTTGTTTGCCTTTTCCTAAATCCTTACTATGCACAATTTCTGTAGATCACCGAAGCATTACGATGGAAAGGCCTGAAAATAAACTAACCCTAGAGGAATTGTTGGCCGAAAACGCGCGCTTGCAATCTCGAATCAAAGAATTAGAGGCTCATGTCAAGGTAAAAAATCAGGATGTAGAGTTGTTGAAACACAGGATTAAGGTGGGTGCTTGACCTGCTGTGCTCGAGGTATCTGAATAGAGGAATGATATTTAGGCAGAATCAGAGTTGGATGATGCTGGCTTCAACGTCGACCGAGTCAAGCTCGAGGTAAAATCTCTTAGAGTTGCCGCTCTTCAGACTAATATTTGGGATTGTGGCCTGCAGCTCAAAATTACCTCGACAATTCCTGCAAATTCAACAAAGAAACGGTAATATTTCTCCTTTGTACTGTGAGTTGTGAGTTGGCGCTGATCTCGTTGAAGAACAATAAAGATAAAGTCCGAGACTGGACCCAACAAGAGACCGAAGATGGAATTCGTCGGTGTCGTACTAACCCAAAATCTGTGGGTTGGACATTCTGTGATCTGGATTTATCTGCTCATAATCGAGCTAGTCGTAACCGCCCGGTTTCTCGTGTTCAGCGTTCGCATTCCATCTCTCCTGGACCTGGAGACACCGAATCAGAGGGGGAAGATAAAGATACGAAAATCCGCCTAATCCAGCCCAAGATGGAACCAAATGACGACGACGTGATATTCATCAGCCAGAACAATGCAATTCCCACTGTGAGTGAATTCAAGTCTCTTGAATATCGCCTGGTTTCGACTCAAAAGTTTGTAGGAATTGGAGCAAAAACCAAAGATCAAGAAGGACATGGATCTGGACGACATCACCGTTCAAACTCGGCTTCGCGGTTACGCCACCTTTTCGGTCACTTTGGAAGATAGTCTTCGATCTCGGACTTTCTCTCGCGCCTATATCACCAGTGTCTTTGGCGGCAGCCAGCAAGAGTCTTTTCCGAGGATTGGTGGACGCCACTTAGCACGCCATGGAAGGAAGCATTGGATGTTCTTGAATAATTGCAAATTCCAGCCGAATGCACCTGGGCAACCCGGTGAACCAGGCTTATTCTTTGATTCGATGCCTTTCTCTGCCAAAGATGAAGATAAGACTATTCGGCACCTTTTTATCTGTCTCGAGCCAAGTAAATGGCAATATGCCGGGGATTACCAGTCTTTTGTAGCTGAATCGCTAACACAGACTGAATGGGTGATGCAGACCCCCAAAGTAAGGTTTTATGGCTCTTTAGCTGTGAATGGGCATGATTGTGATGCCCTTGATAGTTTCGCTCAAATTGGTCCACAGTTCTGCATACCGATGGTTGGGGAAGAACTGTCCGGGCAATGATTCACCTTCGGAAACAGTTAGGTAGGGAACCAACTGAGGAAGAAGTTGGTGAAGCTTTGGGCGAAAATGACTCGTATAGTCACATAACTGCCGAGGAAATTGACGATGCTTATAGTCAAGGCCAGCAGGTATGGAGTAATCAGCTCAGGATTGCCTTCTGTATGCTAATGGAACTTTGTCAGCACCTCGGAATCCTTGCGGTGAAATGTGTGGGGTATGACGAAAGCCTTCAGCGAGAGCTTATAGAAAAACTCTCGTCTTGGACGCCTCCACCTCCGCGCAAGAAAGGGAAGACCAATACGAAGTCGGCTGCAAAGAAAGCCGAGAAGAAGGCCAAGAAAAGGTCGAGAATCCAAGACGATGATAGTGATAGTAGTGATGATGATGAATACGTAGAGGGTTGGTAAAGAAGCTTCAAGTAGAAGACTAGCCCATCACCCCGCTTGCTATTGCTTACTTCTTTCTTCCTGTGTTCATGAAATCACTGTGTCAGTTGCATTGAATACCGTTCTCACTCTTTATTCTGTTTCTTTCATAACTCATGAACTGGTTGAACAGCAGTTGAACAGCAATCATTCAGTTCCGGTTATTAAAATTACAGCTCACACCGCTTCTAAAACATTAAAATTTAAATTCGAACGCAACGATCACATGACCGTTTACGACCGTTCTTTCTTAATCGCCTTTCACGTTAGCGAGATTGTCATCCTTCTCAATCTTATTCCCCTCCTTTTCTCGGTCCCGGCAGCAAGACAGAATGAAAAAGTTGGAATAAATAAGCGCCAATCATAACCGAGCCTCATGGCCCGTTCAATGAATGCCTCGGCGCTTAGCGTCAGCTCTCTTCCCGTCACATTGTGCATGTACTTCTTACGACCACTGTAAACGACTAATACAACAACTAACTCTCGGATTCACATCAAAACTTATCTTACAAACTGGCTAGAATCTATTTGGATCATCTCTTTCACCGAAACTTCCAGGTAGCGGACGTGTAATCATT